TATATATATATATATATATGAGGTGACTCAGCAGTTAAGAGCACTTGCTACTCTTGCAAAGGACCAAAGGACCAGATTCAGTTCTGGCACTCAGCTGGCAGCTAACAACCATCTGTACCTAACTCCAGTTCTAGGGCATTCAGTGTACTCACTCTTCTGAAGCCGGGCGTGGTAGCGCATGCCTTTAGTCCCAGCACTAGGCAGAGGCAGGTGGATCTCTGTGAGTTCAAGGCCAGTCTGGTCTACATAGTGACTTCCAGGCCAGCTGTGGCTACAGAGAGACCCTGTCTCAAAAAGACCAAAAAAGCCAAAACCAAAAAACAATGTACTCTTCTGGCCTCAGTGGACATTGCATGCATATGGTACATTTAACATACATGCAAGCAAAACACTCATACACATTAAATAAATAAATAAAATATAAAAAATAGAAATATCTAAGCACTCAGCTTCTGAGTAAAATTATGTTCATATATATAAATATATATTTATATATAATATATAATTTATATATATATAAATTAAGAATAAATGTTGATAAAACTAGAAACCCCAAAACAATATTGGTTTTGAATACTATATACAATTTTTTAGAGGGGAGGGGACTGGGATAGGATAGGGTCTCACTACATAGTCCTGGCTGGCCTGGAACTCTCTTTGTAGACCAAGCTGGCTTTGAACTCATAGAGATCTACCTGCGTCTGCCTCCTGAGTGCTGGGATTAAAAACCCCACCTGGCACTATATACAATTTTTTTTCACAGACAAACTCTCAAGTAGCCCAAACTGGCTTTGAACTCTTTTTTAAACTCTTTGAACTCTTGTTTTAAATTTTTTTATTTATTTATGAATATAAATGGGCATGTACACCTTTGGACTTGTGTGGAGGCCAGAATGCAAAATGCCTGGCTTGTTATGTGGGTGCTGGGATCTTATCTCTGATCTTCATGATGGAGCAGCAAGTGTTCTTAACCTCAAAGCCATCTCTCAAACCCCCATCCTAGAACTCTTGAATCTCCTGCCTCTATCTCCCATCCCAAATGCTGAGACTACGGATATGTGCTACCATGACCATCTTTTAAATCCTAAAGGGTATGATATTCTTTTGAATATGTTCTGTTTTAGCCATTTTGTAATATCATAATCTAATATTCCTGTTTAATTCTATTGAGTTACTTTTTGTTCAGTATGGTATGAAGCATTTTCTATAAACTATTTCTACGGTTCATTGTAGCTGCTGAGTAGATATTAACACTATTTTATGGAGTGGAAATGAAGGCTAAATGACTTAACAAGGCTATACAGTTCTTGTAACTAGAACTGGGCTTTAGTATGTATGACTACAAAGTCAAAACTCTTCCATTCCTGTCATATTGTCAATTAATTCCATTCACTTTTTCCCATGCTGCTATTATTCTAATTAAAATATCACATACAATATTTATTAAAACTTTCAAAAAACAACCATATTAAAACTTTCTTACTCTTCAATCTTTTGGCGAAGAAGCTCATAATCTTCTCTGTAAATCTGTATCATGGGTCTATAAACATATTGTCTCAACATCAAGTCTTCTGGAGTAGGTGATGTATTTATAGTAAACTGAAAAAAAGTAAACGAATCATTATTCCCTCAGAACCAATATCCTTTTTTTTAAAAAAAAAAAAAAAATTTTTTTTGAAACAGGGTCTCCCTGTAGCCCCAGCTGGCCTGAAACTTGCTATGTAGAGCAGGCTGACCTCAAACTCACAGAGATCCACCTGCTTCTGCCTCCCAAGTGCTGGGACTAAAGGTCTCACACCCAGCTTTAAAAATATTTTTTTAAAAGGATACTAGTTCTAGCCGGGCATGTTGGCATATGCCTTTAATCCCAGCACTAGGGAGGCAGAGGCAGGTGGATCTCTGTGAGTTCAAGGCCAGCCTGGTCTACATAGTGAGTTCTAGGACAGCTGGGGTTATAGGGAGACCCTGGCTCAAAAAGACCAAAACAAAAAAAACAAAACTAAAATTTTAAAAAAATTCTGTGTACGTGTATGTCTGTATATGTGTGTGGGTGCCTTCACAGGCCAGAAGAGGGTGCCAAAATCTCCTGACAAGAGTTACAAGAGGTTGTGAGCCACCTGATAGGGGTTCTGGAACCAAACCAAGGTCCTCCTCAAGAACACTAAACACTCCTAACCACTCAACAATCTCACAAGCTGTGCCCCAACCCCTCCTTTTTTAAAAATCTAATATTACTAGGAGGCTGGCTTGGAGCTTGTGATTAGTGTCTTAAGTGCAGGATTACAGGTTTGTAATACCATGTCTGGCATAATGGCATTTTTGTTTCTGTTTTCTCATTTTTTCTAATATTTTATTTATTATTTTTATTTTATGTGTATGTGTGTATTGCCTGCATGTAGGTAAGTGCACCCACATCGTGCAATATCCATGGAAGTCAGAAGAGGTGGTTGGATCCCCTGGAACTGGAGTTACGGACAGTTCTTAGCTGCCACGTGGGTGTTGGGATTTGAACCCAGGTCTTCTGCAAGAACAACCAGTGTTCTTAACTGCTGAGTCATCTCTCCAGCCCCTGCTTCTTCATTTTTTAGATGGTCGCATATAGACCAGAGTAACTTGGAACTATGTAGCTGAGCATGAGCTTGAATTCATGATCCTCCCAAATATTGGGGTTACAAAAACATACTGCTAGTTCAGAACTAGCATTTTGAAAACAAAACCAAGAATAAGATCAAATTCAAGGTTTGGAGTGCCTATTTTAAGAATTATATAAATATGGGGCTGGAGAGATGGCTCAGTGGTTAAGAGTACTGGCTGTTCTTTCAGAGGACCTTGGTTTGGTTCCCAGCACCCACATGGTAGCTAACAACTGTCTGTAATTCTAATTCTGGGGGATCTGACACCCTCTTCTGATCTCAGGTATAACACAGGTACACTTACATACTTGCAGGGAAAACACATGCATAAAATATAAATAAATAGATCATAGTCTCTTACATAGTGGCAGACATGCAGCTTCATAAATCTGCCTACTTTTCCAAATTATTCACAAAAGCCTAACTTTTCCTTTTCTTCTACCTTTTTTCTAAGCATGCACTTTGGGCTTTACTCTTTCTCTAAAGTTCCTCTCCCTGTTATACCTGGAGGTTGTTACCATGTAGTTGGCCTTCAAGCTAGCCTAATACAAATGGTCTGATCTTTTTCTCCCTTCTCTATTTTCTTTCTCCAGGCAGCTGCCAAGATTTGCAGCTTGCCTGCCTTGGAGTTTTTTTTAAACTTTTGTTTTTGAGACAGGGTCACCTTGTAGCCCTGGCTGGCCTGGCACTCTATATGTAGATCAGGCTGGCCTCAATCTCAGAGATTTGCCTGTGTCTGCCTCCCAAGTGCTGGGACCAAAGGCATGTGTCACCATGCCTGGCAATTTTTTTTTTTTTTAAACTAAAAAATTGTTCTTAAGCTAAAATAAAATCAAATCAATACCTAAAAATAAAACTTACCAGGGACCACTTTATGTTAAAAAAATCAGAAAAAAGAAGAAAAGAAGCAGGACAGTGTCTTATGCTTGTAGTCCCAGAAGTTAGGAGGCTGAAGCGAGGGTCTCCCTGAGTTCAAAGCTAGCCTGGACCATATAGTAAATTCCAGGCTAGCTTGGGCTAGAATAAGACCTTTTCTCAACCAGCCAACTAACCCCAGGAACAAAAGCAGCTGGTTTCCTGGACAATTTTCTTTCTGTTTTGTAGCCTTAAGCCTTACTCCTATCCAAAACATTGTTAAGAGCACTTAGTGCTCTTGCAGAGAACCTGAGTTCGGTTCCCACACCTATATTGCAGGTAACAATTGTCCTTAACTGAAGTTCCAGGGGATCCAATGCCTTCTTCTGGCCTCCATAGGACATATATACATGCAGGAAAAATACTCATACACATTAAATAAACATAAATAAAATCATGTAAAAATTTAAAAATATATAAATAAAATAATAGTTACTGCTGATAACCTAAGGAAGAGTGCCTGCTTCACATGCACTCTTCTTATTTAGTTAACAAATGAAAAAGAAGCAACTAAAGACTTAAATTTCCTGTATTTATATGTCAGATATAGTAAGAAAATGTAGGATAGTATTAAAAACAGTTATAATTAAAACTGACTTTCTCTTTTTAGAGGGCAATGCTGGTGATGGAACTCAGAATCTTGTGCATCCCATGCAAGTATTCTATCTCTGAGATATATCTCCCAGCTATTTGTTTTTTTGAGACAAGGTTTCATGTAACCCTGGTTGGTCTTGAACTTACTATGTATGGGGCAATGACCTTAAACTTCTAATCCTCCTGCCTCCACCTCCCAAGTGATAGGATTACAGAATGGGCCTCCATACCTGCTTTATGAGGTGTTGGGGATCAAACCTAGGGCTTTATGCATACTAAGCAAGCACTCTATCAACTGAGCTATATCTCTAGTCAGCTGAAAAATTTTATTTTAGACTCACTAAGTTTGAATTTAAGTATCTTCATCTATCATACTTCCCCTTATCTTTTGAGACAGGGTCTCTTCACTAAACTTGAAGATCTCTATTTTGGCCAGACTGGCTGGCAAAGAACCTCCAGAATCCACCTCAAAAAATTAAAAACAATAATCTAAATGTTTTAGAACTTAAGAAATTATAAAATGAGGAGCTGGAAAGATGGCTCAGTGATTAAGAGCTCTGACTGCTCTTACAGAGGACCCAGGGTTCGGTTCCCAGCACCCACACGGTAGCTAACAACCATTCGTAACTCCAGTTCCAGGGGATCCAACACTCTCTTCTGACCTCCATAGGCATTGCACAACATGGGTGCACTTACACACATACAGGCAATACACTCATACACATAAAAAAAATGTTTTTAAAAATTATAAAATGAACAGTAAAACATAATATCCCTAAGAAGTAGGAAGATAACACATACAAAAGGTAAAATTAATGAAATAGTAGAAATGAAAACTGAAATATAGGATAGATCCAAAACCCGATCTGCCCCCTCAGCACTAGGTTATAGGTATGCTGCCATGCCTGGTATTTATTTGAAGTCTGGGATTCAAATTCAGGTCCTCATGCTTATGTAGCAAGTACTTTAGCTACAGAGCTATCTTCCCAGATCTATCCAAGGTTTTTAATTTCATGCTGATTATAACTTTTTTGGGTGTTTTTTCCTTGGGCTCAGGGTCTTCTGATATAGCTCAAGATAGTGCTGAATTCACTATGTAAATCAGGCTGTCCTTAACTTAATAATCCTCCTGCCTCAGCCTCCCAAGTGCTGAGATTACAAGTGTGCCCCACCAAGCTGAGCTAACTATTGCCATATGTCCTATAGATTTGGCATGAAATATCTTTGTGTGTTTTCTACATAGTTTTACTTCTTTGATCCAAGAATTATCTAGAAATGTGTTTCTTTTTTGTGTGTGTTTTGTAGTGCTAGGGATTAAACCTGGAGCCTTGACCATAGTGGGCAAGTTCTCTAACTCTGCACTACACCTCCAGCTCTAGAAATGTATTTATTAACTTCTATGAAGCTAAGAATATTTTAGGGTCTGGAGAGATGACTACAGTTAGGAATACTTCCTGTTCTCACAGAGGACTGGAGTTGGATTCTCAGCACAACCACCTGCAACTCCAGTTCCAGGGAATCCAATGCCCTATTCTGGCCCCTGAATGCAACTGTACTCAGGTGCACATACCCTCAACATAGACATACATACATACAAATAATTAAAAATAAAAAATAAAAGCCAGGCATGGTAGTGCACACTTTTGATCCCAGCACTCAGGAGGCAGAGGCAGGTGATCTCAGTGAGTTCAAGGCCAGCGTGGTCTACACAGTGAGTTCCAGGCCAGCCCTACTACAGGGAGACCCTGTCTCAAAAAGACCAATAAATAAATAAATTAACTTTTTGAAAAAGAATATTTTAGTTCTTTTATAAGTTATAGTATTATTGGATTAAGGACAGACGTTATGGCTCTAAAACCTTCAATGTTTTCAATGTAGCCAAGGATATAACTAATTGTTGTAAATATTTGAAAGCTTTCAGTACATCAAGGCCCAAGATTCAAACCAGAATCTTGCTTTGCAGAAAGCAGAATTTTTCTGCTTTCTAAAGCAGAAAAAAAATCATAAAAGACAAGAGAAAATATATTCCTAAGTAAGTGATATGCTTTTCTTTTTTTCTTTCTTTTTTGGTCTTTGTGAGACAGGGTTTCTTGATAGTTCCAGCTGGCCTGGAACTTGCTATGTAGACCAGGCTGGCCTTGAACTCACAGAGCTCCTCCTGCCTCTGCCTCCCAAGTGCTGGGATTAAAGGCATGCACCACCATGGCTGGCCCGTGGTATGCTTTTCTATCAATCTTTTACAGTAAGTTTGTTAATTACATTATTTAAATATTTCTTACATATTTTTTGTTTTGAAAACATCCAAGATTTCTGCTAGGGTTGATTATATAGCTCAGTGGTACAGCTTTTGCCTATCATGCGCAAAGCACAGGGTTTGGTCTCTAGCACCATACCAAAAAGAAACCCAAGATTTGTTGTTTTAAGACAGGGTCTCAATCTATAGCCCTGTCTGGTCTACAATTTTATACAACCCTCTTGCTTTAGTTTCCTGAGTGCTGGCATTTCAGTGACAGCCACAACACCAAATTAGGAAAACTTACTACAGGTTTTGTTTTTGTCTTTTTTTTTTTACATTATCGTGCGTGTGTGCGTGCATGTGTGTGTGTGTGTTGTGTACCTACTTCATGTACCCCCATATACCTATAGAGAGGTCAGAGGACAAATTATGGGAGACAGTGCTTTCCTTCCACTATGTAGGCTCCAATAATCAAACCTAAGTTGTCAGGCTTAGAGGCAAGCACCTTTATCTGCTGAGCACCTCTCTGGCTCCTGTCTTTTTTTTTCTTGAGACAGGGTCTAATGTAGCCCAGGCTTGCCTTGAACTTGCTATGTAGCCAAGGATGATTTGTGTTTGTTTTTGATTTTTTGAGATAGGGTCTCCCTATAGCCACAGCTGGCCTGAAACTCGCTATGTAGACCAGGCTGGCCTCCAAGGGATTTTTAAAAAATATATTTTATTTATCATTTTTATTTTATGTTGTAGGTGTGTATTGCCTGCATGTAGGTTAAGTGCACCCATGTTGTGCAATGCCCACAGAGGACAGAAGAGGCTGTCTGATCCCCTGGAACTGGAGTTACAGATAGTTGTTAGCTGCCATGTGGGTGCTGGGATTCGAACCCAGGTCTTCTGCAAGAACAGTCAATATTCTTAACTGTTGAACCATCTCTCCAGTCCCGATTTTTTTTTTTTTTAAATTACATTTATAGCTGGGCATGGTATGCACACCTTTAGTCCCAGCACTCAGGAGGCAGAGGCAGGCAGACCTCTGTGAGTTCTAGGCCAACCTGGTCTACAGAGATCTGCCTGCCTCTGCCTCCTGAGTGCTGGGACTAAAGGCCTGCGCCATCACGCCTGGCTACAATTTATTTATTATGTGCATGTGTAAGTGTGGGCACACACATGACATAATTCAAGTGTTGAGATCAGAGGATAAGTTCTCTTCTGTGTTGGGCAGCTTTAGCGTCAACTTGACACACCTGGGTAGAGGGAGTTGCAATTGGGGGATTGCCTCCATGGACTGGCCTGTGGCCATGTATGTGGGTATATTCTTGATTTTTTGGGCTCCCTCTGATGAACTGTGACCTGGGAGATGTAAGCCAAATAAATGCTTTCCTCCCCAAGTTGGTCTTGGCCAGAGTGTTCTGTCACAGCAATTGAAGGCAGACTAGAACATCTTCCATCATGTGGGTCCTGGAGATTAAACTCAGGCTGACAAGTGTGGCTTGGGTTAGTGCTTTTACCCACTGAATCATCTAGCTGATTCATGATTTTGAACTTCAGATCCTCATGCCTCTATATCCTAAGTGCTGAGATTTAGGCATGTGCTACCACACCTAGTTTTATGTGGTGCTAGGGAACTGAACTAGGCAGGCATTCTACCAACTGATCTACATTCCCAGTTCAAGTTTTTGATTTTCAGTAATTGTTTGCTTTGGTGCACCATGTATATTATATATATTGAGACGGGGTCTGGAATTTGCTATGTATATGTAGCCCAGGCTGGCCTTGAATTCACAGAGATCTGTCTACCTCAGATTCCTGAGTGAGTGTTGGGATTAAAGGTATGCATCACCATCACCATGCCTGGCCTAAGTACTATATATTTTAACTGAGGTGATTATTTTGCCAAGAAACTTCACTTACTTTGGCTGGGAGATTGCTCTGTCGGGGTTTCTGTATTAAGATGTGGACTTGAAGAAGTATGAAGAACTCCCTTATTGTAATTCGTCCATCCTTGAGTTTCTGAGAAAAGAAAATGACTTTGCATGAATATTCAAAATAAGCTCCTTTGACTATATCACTCATTTCTAAATAGCTTAAGCTACTAAATTATGGAAGTAGCCAAGTAGTAGTAAACTATACACAAACAGGTTTTATTATTATTATTATTTTGGTCTTTTTGAGACAGGGTCTCCCTGTAGCCCCAGCTGTCCTGGAACTATGTGGACCAGGCTGGCCTTGAACTCATAGAGATTCTCCTGTCTCTGTCTGTCAAGTGCTGGGATTAAAGGTATGCACTACTACATCTGGCTGAAAACTAGCCTTTTGTATATCTGAATATTTTATAAGTTTTAAAAATTCTAGGGGCTGTGAGTGCAGGTCAGTTGGTAGAACACTTGCATAAGCATTCACAAAGCTCTGGGCATGGTAACCTATCTCTATAATCCAACACTTGGGAGGTAGAGGCAGGAGGATCAGAAGCTCAAGGTCATTCTCAGCTACATATAGGTTTGAGGCTAGCTTCAGATTACATGGGAGCCTATCTAAAAAGAAAAAAAGAAGAAAAAAGATCTAAGCTAGGAATGGTGGCATAAGCCACCAGTACTTGGAAGATAGAAGCAGAAAAATCAGGAGTTCAAGGCCAGATTTTGCTACATAGAGTTTATGGCTAGCCTGGGCTACCTGAGACCCTGTCTCAAAAAAACAGCAAACCCTTAAAAAAAGAAAAGAAAAATCAAGAAAATTAGTGCATTAAAAGAAAAAAGTAGCTGGGCGTGGTGGCGCATACCTTTAGTCACTGTACTTGGGAGGCAGAGGCAGGTGGATCTCTGAGAGTTCAAGGCCAGCTTGGGCTACATAGTGAGTTCCTGGACAGCTGGGGCTACAGGGAGACCCTGTCTCAAAAAGACAAAAAAAAAAAAGAAAGAAAGAAAGAAGTAGGGGCTGGTAAAATGGCTCAGTGGATAAGGGCAGAGCCTTATCACCACCAAAGCCTGACAGCCTGAGTTCAATCTCTGAGACCTATATGGTAGAAATAGAGAACCAACTCCTGCAAGTTGTCCTTTGATTTCCACATGTGGTTAACCACACATAAGATAAATATATAAGCCCAGGTGTGGTGGTGCATGCCTTTAATCTCAGCCCTCAGAGGTAGAGGCTGGCAGATCTCTGTTTGAGGCCAGTCTGGTTTATATAGTGAATTTCAGGCCACCCAGGATACATAGTAAGACCCAGTCTTTAAATAAATATTTTTTGAGACAAGGTCTCATCATATAGATAAATAAATGTAAAAAAAATTAAGTGTGAAATGCTTTTAACATACCTCTCTCAAGCTCTCTTCACAAATACTGTCACCAAGAAACTGAGATTCCATTTGGCTGTTTCGGTGTGCTAAAAGTAAAGCAAATTCATGGGATTAGTAAGTCAAAAAAAAATTGTAAAGTTAATATTAGTTATCTTTCAGATTATGTGCTAGTCATGATCCTGAAGCCATCAACTAGATGTTTCTGGGAAGCTACTCATTTAATATGGCAGAGTACACTATAATGTAGTTTTTAAGTCTCCATTTAATGTTTCACTACTAATTACAAGCTTTTGAAGGAAGCAACTCTATTCTCCTATAGTATAACAATGGTTATTTCTTTAAAATAAAAAATTAAAAGCAAACTATTATTTTACTTATCAACTCCTTATAACTGAAAAGGTTTATATACCATTCAAACATTTTCTAAACTATTATTAGTCAGGGATTCAAATAGCTGTTACTATTTAGCCTTCATAAAGATCTTACTGCTGAAGTCCAGAGAGATCCCATCAGCCTTGATTGAATCCAGAGAGCTGCTGCAACTAGATGGGGTTCTGCTCAGGCTTTTTGTCAATACACTGTTGACATTTTTATCAATATCTCCTTCAGCATGGTGATCAAAAATCTGAAATTACCAAAGAAACATCAGCAAAGGGGTCAGCAAGATGGCGTAGCAAGAAAAGAGCTTGCTATGCAAGGCTGGTGACATGAGTTTGATCCCTGGAACCCATAGTAAGGAGAATCAATTCCACAAAGCTGTCATCTGACATCCACATGCATACCACACTTGTGTCCTCTTCCGCATCATGTATACACATGTGTGCACTCATACATTCTAACTTTCTAAAAATTAAAGAACCAGGCGTGGTGGCGCACAGCTTTAATCCCAGCACTTGAGAGGCAGAGGCAGAGGCAGAGGCAGGAGGATCTCTGTGAGTTCAAGGCCAGCCTGGTCTACATAGTGAGTTCCAGGACAGCTGGGGCTACAGGGAGGTCCTGTCTCAAAAAGACCAAAAAAAAAAAAAGAAAGAAACATCAGCATAAAGTCATGAGTTTGTGTACCTATAATGATTAACTATTGAACGCCAACAAAAATACTTCTAACAAAATTTGTCTATAATTCACATATTAAAGGCGTAGTAAAGGGGCTGGAGAGATGGCTCAGTGGTTAAGAACACTGACTGTTCTTGCAGAAGACCTGGGTTCGAATACCAGCACCCACACGGCAGCTAACAACTCCAGTAACTCCAACTCCGTAACTCCAGTTCCAGGGGATCCAACAGCCTCTTCTGACCTCCACGTGAATTGCACGACATGGGTGCACTTACCTATATGCAGGTGATACACGCATACACATAAAGAAAGAAAAAAAAAAGTAGTAGTAAAGTACTAAAGTATATAAAGTATCACTGGGCACAGTGGCACATGCCTTTAATCCCAGCACTTTGGAGGCAGAGAAAGGTGGATATTTTTGAGTTTGAGGCCAGCCTTGTCTACATAACAAGCTCAAGGACAGCTGGAGCTACAGGGTGACCTTAGAAAGACAAAAAAAAAAAAAAAAAAGGGGGGGGGTTGGTTATAAAGTATTAAAGAAGTAAGGTATCCAGCAACTAAGGCCTTTAAGTGGAGATAAAATTATGTGCTATACTGTGTAAAGAAGCAGGTTTAGATATATTTCAAATACAGAAAGATCCTATCAGATGACAAATGTCAACTTACCCAAATATTTAGCCACTAGTCACCAATAGCAGGGCTACTTCAAAAAAGCAAATTAGGGCCTAGGAGATGGCTCAGTGGGTAACTGTGCTTGCCATGCAAGCATGAGGATCTGAGTTTGGACCCCTAGTGCCAAACTGGGCACAAAAGGGCACATCTATAATACCAGAATTGGGGGTTAAGAGGGAAATGAGGTAGGGACCAGCAGCAGATCCCTGAAGCTCAGTGACTGGCCAGCCTAGCTGAATTGGTAAACTCCAGGTTTAGGGTGAGATCTTGTCTCAAAATAAGGTGGAGAATTTATTTATTTTATTCTATGTATAGGAATGTCCTGCATTCACATATGTAAGTGTACATGTGCATACAATGCCTGTGGAAGCCAGAAGAGGGTGTCATACCCCCTGGAACTGGGGGGTTGTCATCATGTGAGTGCTGGGAACTGAATCCAGCTCATCTGCAAGAGCAGCCATTGCACTTACTGCTGAGCCATCTCTCCAGCCCTCAAAAAAAATTTTTTTTAAAAAGGTAGATTGTGATAAAGACACAATCTCACACAACAACACACATATATATATACACATACACACTTACACAAAATGTACATATACCTCCTTCCCACACATAAAAGTAAAGCAGGCTAGAGTATTTATTGCACATTGTGGCCCTGGCTATAGAATATAGAAGAAACACATTTAGAGTCTCTATTACTTTCATCCTGAGCTGATGAGGATTCTTTTGGCTGAAATCAACTACATCACAAGACCCTACTTTTACCGTTTAAATCATTTGACTTAGCTTCAAATATTGTTTTATCTACCTACTTTTTTAAAAATGAGGTCTTCTTGTGTTGCCCAGCCTGGCCTCAAACTTGCAATCCTTCTGCCTTAGCTGCCCAAGTAGCTAAGATTACAGGCTTGGACAACTGTATCTATCTATACATGATTTTGAAGACAATCATTTCCTAAATGTTAGAATGAAAACTCTATTAAAGATTTTTGTCAGTACATGCTCACTGATTATAATCCTAGCATTTACAACAGTGTCTGGGGCAGGCATGTGGATATAGCTCAGTTAAGAGTGCTTGTTTAGCATGCATTAAGGTTCAACTACCAGTACTGCATAAACTGGGTGTGGTGGAATGTGCCTGCAATCCCACCATTCCAGAGGTAGAAGCAGGAGAATCAGAAGTTCGAGGAAATCCTCAGGAATTTCCAGACTTGTCTGAGCTACATGAGACCTTGTCATAATAAGAAGTGTCTAGGGTATAGTAGTTATTCAACGAACATTTGTTTTGTTTTTTTTGAGATAGTGCAACCCTATAGCCCCAGCTGGCCTAGAACTTGCTAAGTAGACCAGGCTGGCCTCTATTCTCAGCACTCAGGAAGCAAAGGCAGGTAGCTCAGACTGGCCTTATGACTATTTTCTCATTACCTCACCTTATAGAGTCACTGAAATCTGTGCTTACTTATGTGGATTTTTTTGTTGTTGTTGGGTTTTGTATGTTTGTTTTTGAGACAACATCTCAAACTATAGCCTTGAAATTATACCCAGGCTGGCTCCAAATTTATGATCCTCCTACCCCAGCCTTCTGAGTGCTGGGACATTAGGCATATGCTACCATACCTGGCTACTTATGTGTTTTTTGTTTGCTTATTTTTTTGTCTTTTTGAGACAGGGTCTCCCTGTAGCCCCAGCTGGCCTGGAACTTGATACACAGACAGGATAGCCTTGAACTCACAGACTGCCTATGCCTCCTGAGTGCTGGAAGTAAAGGCGTGTGCCACCATGCCCAGCATACTTACGTGGATCTTAACAGAGTACCAGTCTCAGAAGATTTCTAATGTTTATTTTCTCAACTATAAAACTGGATTTGTTCTTTCCAAGTTAGCCAAATTAGTCTTTCTTTCTTTCTTTATAAAAATTTGGGGCTGGAGAGATGGCTCAGTGGTTAAGAACACTGGCTGTTCTTGCAGAAGACCTGGGTTCGAATCCCAGCACCCAAATGGCAGCTAACAATTGTCTGTAACTCCAGTTCCAGGGGATCTGACAGCCTCTTCTGTCCTCCGCGGGCATTGCATGACATGGGTGCACTTACCTACATACAGGCAATACATACATACATGTAAAATAATAAAAAAATATTTTTAAAAAATGGAGCTGGGTGTGGTGGTGCATGCCTTTAGTCCCAGCACTCGGGAGGCAGAGGCAGGATGATCTCTGTGAGTTCAAGGCCAGCCTGGTCTCCATAGTGAATCCAGGCCAGCTGCAGCTACAGGGAGACCCTGTCTCAAAAAGACAAAAAAAAAAAAACCAAAAAATCTTCTTTCAGTTGAATGTGTGGCACAGGCCTTTAGTCCCAGCACTTGGGAGACAGAAGCAGGCAAATTGGATCTCTGAGTTCAAGGCCAGCCTGCTCTACATAATGAGTTCCAGGCCAGTTGGGGTTATAGGGAACCCTGTGTCAAAAAAAAACAAATATAGAAACTAAACTTTCAATACATACAATCTTAGTTCACTTTGAGGTATTGAGTTGACCTAGGCATTCTTCTAACCACTAAAGAAATGTGCATTTCATAATGTCTTGATCCACCAAAAAAATTTAGTAAAGCTTTTCTTTCTGCACTTGGCATAATAGAAAGGCCTTTTTATTTCTTAAATATTTATAGCACGAAAGAAGACTTTGCAAAGGTATGGTGGCACAAGTCTATAATCCCAGCAGTCAGGAAGATGAGGCAGGATTCTCATGAAGTTGAGGCTAGCTTAGATTAGTTAGACATTGTTTTTAATATGGGGCTGTTGTAGACGGTTGTGCTCATTCATTAAAGGAAGGCCACGCAGGGCCATTGGAGTAGGCTGGCCTTGAACTCAGAGATCCAATGACCAGAGCATCCAGCCACTCTTCCCAGGCAACTGTATGTAATTTGGCCCAAATCACACATGGTCTCCTGGATTTGGGGAGGGCTAAAGTATACAATCTAGGGAAGGCTAGGAAGAAAGAGAAGGCATGACCCATCCTGGGTAAAGGCTTTCTAGTGAGCATATCCTCAGGTCATACATATACCTCAGCAACCCCTCAGTTATCTTGGTAAGTAAGCTCAGTCAATTCATTGGTTCCCCAGTAAAACTTTAATCAAACATTGGCTTGACACTAGAACCTTAAAAGAGAATAAGCATTGCTTAGTATCCCTAGGAAAAGAATACTCACAACAGATGGAAAATTTGTTAATACTATTATGTCTCATAATTATTAAAAAAAAAAAAAAGAAAATGAAAATGTAAAAGGATATGGGAATGGAGATATTTTCCAAAATAGAAAAAATGAGAAAGCCTAAGCAAGTGATGAAGGTCTGTGTAGGCTTGTTATGATATATAAAGGATGAGATAAAAATAATATACATATAATCTTAAAATTTCTAAGGTCATAGTTTAGTCAACTAGTTTAAGGAACAAAATACATAGTCAAG